CTTAAAATGATGTGACAAGTTTCTTTAAGACATCCTACATTGTGATCATTTACAGGTAAGACTCTATACGCCTTAATTAGGGCATTGTACCTGAGCTGGAGAGATTGAAACTGGGCTACTTGCATGCCTCAATCGTGGTGGTGACCGACCAGCACGATGCCTTCCCGGAGCTACTTTCCAAAACATGTTTGACCATGAAAAAGGGTATAAACTAATTGGTGCAGTGGGTTTGCAACTAGTTGCCCACATCTGGATCACTCAGGAAATCAATGGTGGATTGCTTTAGGGGCCATAACAGTGTCAATATAACCATCAACGTTGAGAAAATACCTTACGACTTTTCTTTATTTTCGTCACCTACCTTATAAATGGATAACCATCAATGTTGAAAAGAAACCTTATGACTTCGAATTTCAGAATACATTAATTGGCGACGTAAACAAAAAGTTATATGGGATTATCCATTAATAACTTCAGTGGGATTACCTGACCACCCTTTTGTATCAGCAAATTATCATACCAGTAATATTAAGCTTTTTTTTTTTTCTCCTTATTACCTTATAAGAACTTTGCATGTATGATTAAAATTCATAGTAATAAATTTATAAAGAAAAGATTATATTAGCAATGAGTTTCTTTTATTTCTTGTCATGAATTCAGCATGATGTGTGTAAGTATAACACGTCTAACCATCATTAAAAAGAAAAAAAGTCTTCTCTAAATTTAAACTTACCTTTAAAGTTGAAACGTGCAAAATTAAGTTTACTTCTTTTTTTTTTTAACAAGTTTGCAAAAAATTCTAACATTCTATAAAAAATGAGAAAAAGCCATTTCAAAAATTCAAATATTAAAATTAAAAGTATTCTTATTTAAAAGATAAATAACAAACTACTTGATTCAAACGTGTAAAACAATAAAATCGAGTTAATTTTCCAAAACTCTTGTTGAATAAATAAATTAAAAGAATTTACAGTTTCTTTAGTTGCGTCTCAATCAATTACACTTGAAAAAAAAAAATCAAACAAACACAATTAAGGGAGGGAAAAATTGTAACCTAATCTCTTTTGATATACGGCTACAGCTACACCTAAAACCAATGGGCTACGGGCTCTCAATCAATTATACCTAACTAAACAATAAAATTGAGATAGCTTTAAAAAAAATTGTCCTACCAAATAATCAGCCGCCAAGTCATGTATCCAACTCATCGGGGCCCCAACGACACAGAGATGCCCGTCGGGATCCGCATACTTTCCGACCATTTATTCGATTGTAAATACAATTTAGATAGTTTACCCGCCACGCGTCCCATATCTGGCCGCTCATTTGGATCCACGTGTACGCAATCCAGCGCCAACCGTGTTACCTTCTCCGCCACTTCCACCGGGAATGAGTCCTTCAGCCTCCTATCCACCCACTTCCTTATCGGTCCTTCCCCGCCGGAGTCCACCGCCGCTCTCGCAGTGTCTATCACCGATGTACGGATGAATTCGCCGCTTCGCTTGTCGAACCGGTATTTGAAAGGCTCCTCGCCGGATAACAGCTCGAGGATTACAACCCCGAAGGCGTACACGTCGGATTTCTGCGTCGCGACGCCGCTGGTTTGGAATTCCGGCGACATGTAGCCTCTCACGCCTGCGAATTGCATATTCCCGCTATTCGATCTCGTCAATTTTTCGCTTCTTTCGTCAACTTCGACAATCTCCCCGGTTTCGGCCTTCTTGCCCTTCCCAATTTCGTTCTCGTCGGTTTCGCCGCACAACTGCGAGGTGCCAAAATGGCAAATCTTCGCAATGAAGGAAGGTTCCGTCACTATGATGCTACTGCTCTTGATGTGATTATGAACTATGCTTATATTCAGTCCTGTTTTATTATGGATGTAATCCAGGCCGTGAGCCAGATCCGTCGCGATCTGCATTCGAGACATCCAAGTAGAAAGAACGGTGAAATTCGGGTTCCTCGAATTTCTCAAGCAATCGGTGAGATTGGCTCCTTCGATGAATTCGTAGACGAGGTAAATGTGATCGCCGGATAGAGAAGCGCCGAGGAGTCTAATGATGCTGCCGTGGTGACTCCTGCATATCACCGATAATCTTTCTCTGAGCTGGTTGGTTTCGATTTTCCTGCGAAATTTCCTCTGGAAGACTATAGTGTTTTTGCCGCGCAAATTGCAGCGCCAGCAGGCGGTGGAAGCGGAGGAGGAGTAATGCTTGGCGAGGAAATTGTTAGTGGCGGTGCGTATCTCGGTGATGTCGTAGATGTGAGGGTTTTCAGAGAGGGAGAAGCGGAGGCTCGAGAGCGAGGTTCCGCTGGAAATTGAAGTGCTGGAGGAAGCTTTGGTATTTGTTGAGGAGGACATCGTGTGGATGGAGCTTGTGGCGGTTGAAGTGGGCGGGGACACGGTCTGACTCGACCGCGTCGTTGGCGTTCGAGGAGTCTGAGTCTGGCGAGTTCGCGGTGACCGGTGAGTCGGTTCCGTGGCGTTGGTCGCCATTTTTGTCTTGCACATGCGAGGGGAAGAGGTGAACTTCCCTGAAATTAAATGAAATGGGGATTAGGGTTTTTGAAGGAAGTTGACGAATTGGGATTAGGTTGGAGTGGATAGCTGAGTCATCAAGACGCGGTGGCCTTAGAAGTGGGGGAACAGGAACAGGAAGAGGAAGAGGAAGAGGAAGAGGAGGATGAGGTGGACTATGCTAACGTGCGCCTATATAAAATGCTGCAGGTTTTTTTTTTTTTTTTTTTTTTTCGAACAGGATTACAAATATGGGGGAGTGGGAAGTCGAACCCAACCTTCGGGTTCGGGGATGCACTTTATAAATCGGTTTATAATTGTTGGATCGCGAGTTCCAAGTGCAAAATGCTGCAGGTTAATTAGCTGAAACGGGAAAGTGGAGTAAAGAAAATAAAACGTGCAAGAGTATAAAATACGCTTTTATTTTTATTTTTATAAATTTATGTAAAAAAATAAAAATTAATTTTTAATTTATTAATTATTTAATTAAATTTATTAATTTAATACTAATCTAAAATTAATATTAATTTTTATATTATATATATTTGTAATAAGAAGATATTTGTACCAAATGTAAATTTTAAAAGGATTTTTTTATTTTATGTTTGATAAAAGTATAATAAATATATTTTTTATAATTAATTTTTATTAAATATATAAATATTGATTTTAATTTAATTAATTATTTATATTTTTTATATTAATCTCTCGATATCTAGTAATTATATTAGATTTTGATTAATTTAAAATCGAATTGCGTTGAATCTCATTAAGGAAAAACTTTTCGATACATGTTTTTTTATTCATAAGATTCAAATTAAAGATCTTATTAGGGGGAACTAAATTTTTTTCATTTCAATCAACAAATCATTGGTAAAATTATTTACATTTTAATAATATTAGAAAATATGTAAATTTTTATAATTTTCTTGTGTAAATTAATAATAACACATGGTAAACAAATTTATTTTAAGAAAACTCCAAAATGAAAAAGATTGAGGGGGGACCGTGCTAATGTGCGCCCATAAAAATGCGGCAGGATAATAGCTGAAACTGCAAATATTTTAAGGCAGCCTTTTG